CTTTTTTTTAACAAAAATATTTTTTTAACCATGTCGCCTTCAAGGTCGTATGACACAATTGTTTTCTTACTTTTTCTAAGATCAGCAAAAATTATAGAATTAGAAAAACAAATAAAATTGAGAGTAAAAAAAATAGATTTTTCATACAAAATATAAATCGAATTTTTTTTTTTCAAAATTTTCGCGTTCTTGGCCTAAATTTTTCCATTTTCAACCCACAGAATCCAAAAATGCAAAGGAATTTAGAAAAAAAAATTATATGAATTTCGGCAAAATTTTGATTTTCAATTGTTAACAGGTTTTTAATGATCTATTTTCTGAAAATAAAATATAGTTTAATGGGGAATAAAAAAAAAAACAACAAAAAACGATTGATTTCCTACAAAATTTTCAATTCAATTGGTTAGATTTAAAGTTTATTGGGATAGAATTTGTCCTCAATTTAAAAGAATTTAGGAAAATTAATTCTCAATTTTTTATTTTTTATTTACCAAATTTAATTTTTGAATCAATGAGACTGTATTATGGGAGCGACTTTGTATTTTGAATTATTTACCCAAAGCGGCAATTCCTCTTGTATTTTGTGGTTAGAACTGAGCTTAATTTTCCGTACATTCGAAAAAAAATATTTTGAGTTTAGAAGAATTTTTATAATATCCATCAGAAGTTTTATAATATTCAATCACCTAAAAGTATAGAACTAGCTTTTGAAAAATATTATGACATAAATAAATTCAATAACAATAATATTTGAAAATTTGAAATTAAATGTTGCCAATTATTTTAAAATATCGATTATATAAGGTAATTATAAAATTTTGGACACATATGTTATACAAAAATAACACACTTACTTTAGTCAAAACAATAAATATTTATTTTAAAATTTCTTTTTTTTTCTTTAAAACTAGTTTACATTTTTATATATATTTTTTTTTTAAATGTTTTTGGCAAAAAATCGTTTACAAATATATATATATATATATATATTAATGGAACGCCATTGCTTTTATTTGTTATATTATTTAATGGAAAACAAAACTGCTGCTTTTGGCAGACATTGGTACATTAATGAAAAAATTATCACGAGAAATTTTTGAATTTTAAAAAAAAATTCTCAGATAATTAAATAATGATTACTTATGTTGAAATACCAATTTGACGTAAATCATAACAAACGAAAAATAAAATATTTTGCGTAATTATAAATTAAGCTGTATAACAATATACAGTATAACAATAAAATATAAAAATTTTGGTTGTCCAAGAAAATTTTTTCCTGTTTTTTAAGCAGAAAATTCTGATTTATATATGAAAATATTAAATTTCATTGGACATTGAACTTTGTTGCTGCTCCAATTTCTCGTCCAATTTCAACTGAAATCAACTAAGTATCAATGTTGCAACTTGCAAGTCTTAAATATACAAGATTTTCATGTTTATTAAGTTTATTATAAATGGTTAAAAACCAGAATAATTCATTTCAGATGGCAACATTCAATTTTGAATTTCGAAAATTCATTTATTAATGTCATTGTAAATGCAAAATGTGAGGTTAGATTGCACGCGTCCTGGCGCGAAATTAATTGTTATATTAAAAAAAATTAATTTAAATTTAATTCCAATAGTAAATACTAGCTGAAATTTATTAAAACTTGCTAGTCAGTAAAATAACTAAAATAATTAAAATTTCAAATATTGCAGTGTACAATAAGAAACAGTCAATTAATATTAAATATAAAATAGACTAGACTGTATTGCGTACATGCAACATGGTTCTTATTATACGAAAAAGCTCCAATTAAAGAATATTTTTTAAATAAACTCAATCAAGTGCGCAAAAATTTTTAAAACTTTTTTTTTTCCCCAATAGACTCGCCTTTCATTTTTGACACAATACAAATGGCTAATATAACACAAAATACAATATTTTGTTTAAAGTTCAATGATGTTCAAAAATTTAATTGAATAAAAGAAAAAAATCAAAAATAGAAAAAACAGAAAAATGAAAAGTAGAAAATTAATGTCATGTTTATTTTTTTTTTTGTTGTTGTGATTTTGAGATTTATATTGGCAATCAATTACAAATACGGTTTATTTAATGAAATTTTCATTAATAATTTAAATTTAATTTTATATTCTGTGCAATTATTTTGAATAATTTTTCTATTTCATAACAAGCGGAAAGAGAAACAAAACGAAAAAAAATAAAAATAAAATTAAATTAAGAAAAATTTTTTGTATGCGGCCGACATATGCAATTTTTAAACTCTTCTCAGCTTTTAAAATTTATTTTGATTTAATTAAGTAAAATAATTAAATTTTAGATATGGTCGATTATAAATTTAAATTTTTTCTTTTTTTTTGCAAATATTTATAATATAAAAGCAAAAAAAAATACAAGAATTTTATTCATTTTAGTTTATTAAATGAATTTCAAGTGGCGCCTCTCCACAATTTCAAAACTAACGAAAATTAATATAAAAATTAAAAAAAAAAAATTAATTTCTGAAAATTAAGAAATTTCTAGTAAATTTGTTTTAAATTTTTTCTTGAATTAGAAAACATTTGAAAAACAATTTATATACTTGTGTGTGTATGTATGTATGTACATATGTATATTTAGTTTCGACATGCATTTTCTTATAAATTTCAAATTTGACAGCAAGAACATTATTGTGTTTATGTTAAAATATTTTTAAAAAGACCGGATGTAACAATAATGCAACTATAACATGATTTTTTTTTTTGGTTTTTTATTAACAAATAAATTAATTTTTAAAAGTTGAAGAGAAAATGTGTTGAACAAGAGATGACATATTTCTATATGCAACAATAGTTGTGTGATAAAAATGTTTGAATTTCTTTTTAGGCTAAAGTTTATTATACAATCAATAAAATATATTTACACTAAAATTCAAATGATGGGTTATGGTTCCTATGCTATCAACAGCCGATATCAAGAAAATATAAATGGCTAAGATACATACTCAGAAGCCCAGAGTATCTAATAGCAAGGCAAGTAATGGATTAGAACCCTCAGGGCAACAGAAGAGTTGGCAGGCCAAAAAATACATGGAAGGATATAGTAATTAACGAAATAATCAGTCAAAAAAAAACATAAGGGTAAATCAAGAAGATAGCCAAGAACAGAGAAAGGTGTAGAGGCATTGTGGAAGCCCTATGCTCCTATAATATTAAAATTCAAAAATAAAGTAATAATTCTTTAAAGTGTCTAGAGAATTCATTAAAATTTATGAAAATTACAATTCAATAAAAGATCAAGAAATTTTGGTATCACATTAAATTGTGTACTCCAGCTAAATAAACAGAATATACTATTAACAACTGTCATAGTTATCGAAGAAACCCTAGCAACAACTTGGATAACGAGTGTCATCTTATCATTAATGAGTATACACGAAAAAAAACTTATTAAAGTTCAAGTGACACTACAATAACGACTCTATTAATAAAATTTCTGCAAAATGCTCACAACTATTGAAAAATGTAATTTTTTTGCAAATGCAGCACCATATTTAAATTGCAGTTAATGGAAAATCACATTTATTTCAGAGCAACAAATTATCTTAATTAATAATATAATCTTCGAAATGTTTTGTCAAAATGTTTTGATCAAAATCAATTATAAAATATTTGGAAAATTAATTAAAGCAAATTTCAATTTTTGAATATAGAGGATTTTCGAATATTCAGACATGCAGTGAAAGTTCTAAATGAAAACATTAAAAGTCTTTTTGCATATAATTACAAATCTGCAGAAATTAAAAATTTTAGTTTTGCAGATTTGAAATTTGGTCGAGTAATTTTTCAATGTCCAAGTTTCTAAAATTTTCTAATATACTCTTTTTCTAATTTATAACATTCTTGCGGTAGTTATAAAAAACTTCAGAATTACCAGTTTTGCAGCTTAAATTTATCGAACATGCCTATATTACGATCTAAATTAAAACTGAGTTATCGAAAATCACATTATTTTTCAAATCCTTGCTAATTAATAATTTAGCAAATTGAAATAAATTATTTAACACTTTTTTGACTGATAAAAAATATTTGAATAAATTTAGAAATTTCAAAATTTGATTTCATATTTTTTTATCTTTTAACACTTTTCATAATGATCTTAAGAATTATTTTTCATTTTTAATAATTTCTTTAAAATATTTTTAAAACCAATTAATTAAATTAGAAATTTTTGACATCTGTCATAATTTTTTTTTTGGCTTTTTTTTTAAATTATTGAAGAAATTATGGAAAAAATATTTATAAATTTTAATAAATTGATTTCAAGAGTGAAAAACAAATAAATTTGTTAAAATGCGTTCATTAGTTTTGATTTTTGTACGCAATTCATATATGTAAGTGTTTATGTATGTACATAAGTAAATTATTAAAAATGAAAAATTGAGTTAAGTAAAAACGGACATGTGCCAATAATTTGTTGAATGAAAATCGATTGCGAGCATCTGTACTTGTACACACTTATATTTTTACAAATTAAAGATATTGTAGAATTGCATAAAATTGTAAAATAAATTTTTAAGGAAAGAATTAGATGTTCTAAAAATTTGAAATTTCCAAATTCATGAATCACAGATGACTGACAACTGGTAAAAATTCATTAAAATGCAAATAATTTTGCAATGAGAAATTTTTGCACTAACCTATCGTTGGAATATTTATTGCTGCAACATGAAAGGAAAAGAATAAGTTACTACAAAATTTTCAAATATCTACATCCCTAGATCTTCTTCATGAAATGTGAGCCAATTTTTTTGAAATGAATTAATGAAATATTTAATGAATTTTTAGCAAACTTACATTAATAAAGCGATAATGGTCCATGATAACTTTTTTTAAAGCTTTCAGTATTGACATTGCATAAAAAATAATTCGATTTTTTTTTTTTTTTGCAATTCACAATCCACAGAGACACGATAAAGCAATTGCATAAGAAATTATTGGAAACAGATATTTACCATTTTAGATTTATTCACCTCATCGATATCCTTAAGGGTTTGTGCATCACTTTCATCATCATCTTCTTCTAAAAATGATATTGATCTGCTTAATGAACTACCTCTTGATGTTGATGGTAATTTATTTGTTAATTGAAAACCTTTCATTAATATATTTTGTGCACTTTTTGATCTCCCTAAACGATATTCTCCAAATGGTTCCATACTACGTTGCTCTCTTTGTCGTTCAATTAAACTAATTGTATCTTCTGTTCCACATACACTATTACGTTTACCTATTTGTTTCCATTCTTCCGTAACATGATCAGTTTTTTTTAAGAAATTTGCAATTTCTTCACTCAAACGATTTGATAATGTACGAGAGTTTTGATGTGATGGTAATGCATGAAAACTTTGATGAAGTGGTTGTTTATTACATCCCATAACGAATTGTAAATTAGCATCAAATACAACTGGTGATTGTTCCAATTCATTAATACCTTCAAGATTACATGAATTCTCTTTTGAATATGTTTGAGGAAAAATACGTCTTGGCGTTATAGAACGTGAACAACGATCTGATGTTGTCAGGCTTATACTACGTGAAAATGGACGATTAGGGGAACGATTGTTATTTCGTGAATTTAATTTCGGTGGTGGTTTACCAAGTGGTGCAGAAAATGTATTACTTGATATTGAAGATAAATTACAACTTGTTGTTGAAAGAGGACTAGGTGAACGTACCATAGAAAGTGATAAAGATGTATCTGGAGATTGAAATGCAGTTGTTCCATGAATACTATGTCTATTATTGAGTGAGTTTGTTGATAATTTTGCCATATTATTAATCGCGGTAGCTCTAGCCAAAAGTTCTGTATTTAAAACAGGTGCAGGTGTATTTGGTATTTCGATTTGCGGCTGCTCTACTCGAATCTTTTTGGTTTTTGTTTTTTTGGCTGTTGGTTTTATAGGAATTGGTGTTTTTGTTAAAACATTTGTTGGTCTGTTATTCAAATAAGATGATTCAAATTTGGATTCAACTGACGCTAATATATCCGAAGACGATGGTAATTTAGCTAACGGGTTTAATCCCACTGCTGTGGGATTAACAGTTGGCAATATTGAAGACATTGCTGTTCCAAATGGCATTGTTTGTGGTTGAATAGTAACAGGAGTTGACGGTGGTTTAGTTGTATTTATAACCGATTGTGCTCTTACTCTTCGAACAATATCTGCTGCTGATGATGATCTAGATAGACAACCTTCTAATGGTCCTGGCGATTGAGATTGTGCTCTAATACTCGGTGACACACCAACAACAGATGAAGACCTTGAAGATCTGTTATTTAAATAATTTGATTCAAACTTCTCTTCAACAGCAGCTAGTATGTCTGAAGATGACGGTAACTTTCGTAATGTCCCGAATTCCGGAGGTACAGAGCTTCTAAGATCATTTTTATCTAAACTAATTGATCTTTCGAATCTAGCATTATAAGAACCTATTTCTGATGTTTTAAATAATGTTTTAGTAAAATCTGCATCCGATATTGGAGACAACTGTGAAGTGACTTCGTTTTTAAATGATTCTTTAGTCTCTTTCGTATCTGTGCTCTCTATCGCAGCTCCTTTAAATTCTTTCAAATCTTTTGTTTTCTTAGTCTCTTTCACGTCGTCCTTTGCATCGAACTCAGTTGTTTTTGATGTGATTTCCTTATCCGGATCAGCTTTAACTTTTTTTACTTTAATTATCTTTTTTTTAGGAACTGTTGTAATATTAGTCAATGTGTTGGGATCTTTAGAAACTTCCGCTTGTACATCAGAAGACGTAGATAATTTTGTAATTTTCAATTCACCATTTGGATCATTATCAGGTACAGCTAATTCTGTGGAAAGTTTTTTAACAATTTTCTTCTTTTTCACTTTACCGGATTCCTTTTTAACAATAGTTTCAGCTTCTTCATTTGATGTACTAGTAATATTTTTTATTTTAACTGTTTTCAATTCTGTAACGGGTTTTACTGTACCATTACAATTCTGATTAATTGCATCGTCCTCAACAACAGTCTCTAATGTGTTTTTCTGTTTCGTTTGTGGAAGATCATCATCATCCTCTATTGAATCTACAGAATTCATTTGGAGTAAAGCATGCAAATTTGAAGATGATGATTTTTTAGATAGTTTAAAACCACGACTTAAGCCAGTAGGATTGTTATTAGAAATATTGCAAATATCATTTAAACCATTAGTCATATATTTGTTATTAACGCAAGTTGAAGATTCAATAGTCGAATCAACAGCTGCTAGAATATCAGATGTTGGGGTTAACTTATATAATTGAAAGCCTTCAGTTATGGAAAGCTTTGAGGAACTTAATGTGTCATCAATTGTTGTATTTGTTGTAACAGTTTTTTGATTTTCGGTTACATAATTAATTTTTGAATCAACCATTGATAAAACATTTTTTGATGATGCTGATGATATAGATGGTGATAATGGATTTGATGATTTTTTTTTATTAGGACTTGTTATTTCAACAATATCTACAATAGGGGTTGGTGGTTCACTAACATTATTACTATTAATATTATTATTATTATTATCATTATCACAAGAAAGCGAGGAATTTTTTAATTTATTTGAAACTGCTGCTAAAATATCTGAAGTTGAGGGTAGTTTTGAAAGTTTAAAACCAGGTGTATCTGTTATTTGTATACTAGCTGTAATCTTTGATTTTTTCTTAACATGTACATGTGCTTCATTTTTTGGTATATTATTTTTTATTTGACTATTATTATTATTATTATTACTATCATTAGTAGTTACTAAAGTTGATGTGAATGATTGTGACGATGATGATGTTGGATTCGGTTGGACTTGTAATGAATTTTGTGTATCTATATGTTTTTGATTAATTTTTTCTGTTTTATTTGAGTTTATGTTATCATTAGTGTTAGCATTTGATTTTGTAATAGAATTTCTTGTATTGTTAGATGTATTTGTTGATAATGGTTGGTTTTGGGATTGTGTTGGTAATGGGGTTTCTGGTTGGGATATTAATGGAATTGTTTTAATGTATTCTGCGTCGGGTGATGTTACGCATTCTTCAATATTTTGAGTTTTCTTTGATGTTAAAGATGCTGATGATAGCGGTGGTTTAAGCTTTAAATTATTTATATTTTTCTTTTCAATTCTACTTGATTTATCAAGTTTTAATTTACTTTTTGGTGGTGATTTCTCTTTTTCTGTTGCCATTGTTGTAATATCACCGTTTGTTAAATGATTTGATTGAATTTTTCCTTTTGATGATTGTGCCAGTTTTGCTTGACTTTCATGATATCCATTTAAATCCTTATATTTTGTTATTTCAGCTGTTTCTTCTATTGTCGTTACAATTGAATGCTTTCTTCTAGGTATTTCCGATTTGTTATTGCCAACAGTACTATTACCGTTTTCATTATTTGTTTCAATATCATTTTTAATATCATCATTATCAATTTCATCGATTGATTTTTGATTTCCGAATCTATTAAAACTCATACGTTGACATGCTTTTATTTCAGCTTCATCGATCATTGGAGTTGTTGATCTTGATCTTAAGGAACGTGTTGGTGTTGTTGAACGTGATCTTATAAAACCTGTAAAATTTTGTATTGGTGCAAAACCGAATGGCAATTTATCTAAAGCACTTAATTTTTTTGCTGGTAATTTAGGTAAAGAATTTTTATTAGCAACAGGAGGAGGTTTTGATATTGGAGTTTGACCATTAGTAATTGGAGTAGTTGTTGTTCCTGTATTTGAAGGCACCGTATTAGTTGTTGTTTTTGTAGTTGGTGTTGCTTTAAGAGATGATACTGTTGATTTATTAATATCTGTTGAATTTGTTGTCATTTTGATATTTTTAATTGTTATATTTGATGTGGGTGAAGTTCCGTTTGGAGTAGCTGGTGCTCTACCAATTGGTGTTGATGGAGGATTTGGTGACATGATTTTCTTTAATATGATTTATTCTAAAATATGTTTCGTTTGCGAAATTCGTTTGCTTCTAATTTCATTTAAAATTAATATGTTAAAATAAAATAAAAAAAAAAAATTCTTTTTCCGATATTTCCGAGAATTACACTTTAACAAAAAAAAAAATTTCCTTTCCTTCTTGTTTATTCTGCTGTTCCAGTTGTTGTTCTTTCCAATTTTTTTTTTCTCTGTAGTTTTTGATATTGTTGTTCTTTCAATATTGCAACAAATTGTTACGGTACATTTCCTTTTAAATTAAATATGAGTTGATTTTCCTTAGTTTTTCTTTTCTCTCTTTAATTTTTGTTTTTCTCTTTTTTTTTTTTTTAGTTATGTCTCTTTTTTCCTCACTTTTCTGTTATTTTGTTTTGTTCCTTTTTTTTGTTCGAAATTTTTGAAAAACTGTTTTTCGAATGATTTATTAATAATTTTTTTTTTTTATTTTACATGTTTTTCTATTTTCTTTCTATAAAGTATTCTTGTGTGTGTGCGTATTTCTTAATTTCGAAACAATGCAATTCTTATATGTAAATGTAGATCATTATTATGTTTTTTTTTTCAATTTTTTTATTTTATGATCACATAAATAAGTTTGTTATTATTTTTCTTATCTTGTTGTGATTTTGGATGTAAGAGAGACACAATAAATATGTACATACATTCAAAAAAAAAAAAATCAAGAACTAAACACAAATATATAGAGAGAAAATTATGTGTGAGAAGTGAGCGTGTAAAAATATTTAAAAAAAATTATTGAAAAGGAACACTCTACACAAATTTAGAATACACTGTCACTGTCGAGTGCCGATTTAATGTTTCTTTTTTTTTCTTATTTTTGTTTTTGGTTTTGTTTTTAGTTTTTGTGTTTGTTTTATATATTCAAATATAATGACAATTTACGACGGAACAGTAAAATGCATAATGATAAAGTGGTACCAGTGTTACAAGAATTAACGATGAAATATAACAACAGCAAACAACAATAACAATTATAATAACAAGAAGGTTTTTTATTTTAATAAATTAAATAGTGTAAATAACAAGAACAACAAAAAAAATTTTTTTTTTTTTGTAATAAAAAAACAAAACGAGAGCAAAACAAATAAGACACAAAAAAAAAAAACTTTAACGGTAAAGGAAAACTAAATAGAATTAAAAAAAAAAACAGAAGACAGCGGTTCGCGAGGTCGATAATTTAGCGGATAAAAATAGATTTATTTTCGAATTTTTTTATTTTTATTTTTTTTTTTTGTAAATTTTTTTTTTTAATAAAAAAATTTTGTCGGATTTATTAATACTTTTTTTTTTTCTATATGTATTTGAAGATAAAAATTTTCTGCACTGATTCCAAATTGAATTTTTAATTGCATAAAAATATCACATTTCAATATTTGCTTTTATGAATTTAAAATTAATTTTTTTTTTACATTTTTTTTTAATTTTTAATTTTAAAAATTTTTATTTTTTTTCTCTTTTTTTTTTTTTTTTGTTGTAATTGAGCACAAGTTTTGTTTTATATTTAATTATTTAGAATTAGAGATTATTTTCCAGATGGCCGTATTGGTGTATTGAGTTTAATTTATTTTTGATATTTGATTTAAGAAGATTATGTAGAGAGATGCGATTAAAAAAATTCTAATTCTCAATTAATAATTTTCCAATAATTAAAAATTGTTTTGGATTTTTGTTTATTTTTTATTGTTTCTTTTTTCTCAGAAAAGCTTAACCGAAATTTCAATTAAAAAAAAAAATAATAAGAAGCAAAAATAACTAAAACCGTGGAAAAATAAAAAATTCTAAAAAATTGAAATATCAAACGGTTGAACGGCGATAATATCGCGCAACGCGTTTTTATATTTCCACCGCTTAACTGTAACTGAGGAAAATTTTGATTTTTTATGTGTGCTGTTTTTTTTTTTTTTTTTGAAAATTTTCTTTTTTTTTGAAACGAAAATATAAATTATTTTGATTTCATCTAATATTATATGAGAACAAGTGCGTTTTTCCTACATTTTGTTTCTTTTTTTTATATTCTTTTTCCTTTTCTACATTCTGACCGAAATATATTTGTTTATGTGTATATAAACGCATGGTATATACGAAATGTATGAACACGTACAAAATTAGTCTATAAATATACTAAAATAAATTTTTAATACAGGGGATAGTTTACTTTAAAATTTTTAACATACAATCAACGCAATTTGCAATCTCACAATAATCGAATCTCAAATATGGCAGAAATTTATTATTTGGATTTCAACAATCTCTTTAAAATTGTTAGTTTTATTGAAGTTCTAATGAGGTTTTATATAGCATAGGAAAACATTATGTTATCGAAAAGTGAGATTAGATTTCAAAACTTTACCATCAGTCTAATTTAACTGTGGTAATAACAGATGTTACTGTCATTTTTTAATCCTAATTATATGCAACAAGATCAAACTATTGAGGCTGATTCGGAGTATCGAATTATTAAGTGATAGGTAATATTTTATCGTAAAAATTTCAAAAACTTTATTGTAGACACGAATCATTTTTTATGAATTGGTTTGTGCTTACAATAACAATATCCAAATATACGATAATTATCATTATCCCTTAGTGATTCGATATTGAAAATAAGTTCCAATATCTGGTTTTCACCCTGTACTGAAGTTTTTTTTTAAACATTTTACATTTATAGTGTACATGATTTTTTTTTTAGAATTGTGTTAATACAATTTTTGTATATACATATATTGTATGTGTTCAGTTTTATTAAGTACACGAATAAGTTTTCCCTTAATTATGATATACGTTATGTATGTACACGTACGTAAATATTATTCTAGAATATACATATAAACAACGTTAATAAACAAAGTTGATGTCTGACCACATTTTTTTTTTTGAGTATTTTTATTCAATTTTAAATTTTGTCCGAAATTATTATAAGAATTTTTCTAAAGTTCTCATAAAAAATCTCAATTTTTTCGTTAAGATTTTGAATAAGTTCAGTGGGATGCATATATTTTATAGATAGACTCTTCTTCCAGACTGAGAAAATAATTAATATATGCAATTATTCTTAAGAATAGTGGTAATTGAATAGCACTAATTCTTACAATTTCTAAGTGCTTAAGGAAAAAGTCAGCAATTTTCATTAAAATAAAATTGAAATTTTCTGTATTTTTTTTATAAATTCACAGAAATCTGAGAATAATCTAAGACTTTCAATTTATTTTTAATTATTTACATATAAAAATCTTGAGTTAACAAATTTCCTTTTTATATCGTAAAATTAATTAATGTAAAAAAAAATAGCCATTTAATACTTTAAGCGTCTTCCTTAATGACATTTTGTTGAAAAAAATTCATTATTTTATGCAATGATTAAAAATTGAAAATTTTAAAAAGCAAATAATCTTTTTTTATCAATAATCTCTTTTCTATTTTTTTTTTTATGATTTTAATTAAAAAATTTTAAATTAATTAAAAAATTAGTTTCAGTAATTTATTCTCCCATAAGTGTATTCTTCCGTGTAATACAAATTTCATAATAATTTTTTTGAAAATCTCGTTGCTTTTTTTATCCCAATGTATTCCTTAAGATAAGTGAAGCAATTTGTTAATTATTTTTATAAATAATTTCCAAATTTCTATTGATTTTTATCATCAAGAATAAAAAAAAAAGAACTATAATTAAATATGAGGAATAATAATGAATTACAGTGTATACCACCTTCAAATTTTTTGCGAACTTCTTTGCGAACATCCATTTTGCAAACGTAATTGCAACGCTCGCACGAATGAAGCACTCACAAGCAATGACAACTGTCTTGCAAGACTGTTGCTTTGAAAAAATAATGCATTGCTTATAATTTGCATTTTGGATCATAATTTGGAACTTTTATTAGAGAAAATTTGTATTTGACAATTCTATTCTTTAAAACTTTTAAATAGTTTATACGTAGTTAGGCAAGATGCATCTTAAATAGTTTATACGTAGCTAGGCAGGAAGGTAGCTAGGCAGATTTAGTAGAAATATGACAGAAATATAGTTGAAAGTAAGGCAAACCAGATGCAATTACAAGAACCTTATTTCCTCTATGAAAATTTGGTTTCCGCATCTACAGAATGTAAACTATACAACTTTGATCATTATTATTGACATTACTAAAAAATTTTTGGTTTGTAACTTGGATCATGTTGTCTTGCTATTTTTATTTGCAAGTCATGGCTATTCAAATTTCATTTACCTTGAATGTTTGAAATTTTTGCATGCAATAATAAAACCTAATATGAAACACACTGTATTTATGCACTATACATATGTATACACATATAATGTAATATGTAGCATAAGATTTTTGATAAATGATGGAAATAATTTCATTTAAACGAATATTTGATTTGATGTTTGAGATCAACACTTGCATATAAATGCGTAACATTAATATATACAAAAAAAAATATATTGTAAGAACGCATACGAACCAAAAAAAAAAAACAAACTATATACACCATCCATTAATTAGTATAATATTTTCTTATAGAGTTATTAATATACAAAGTCTGTGGTACCTACTTTATATACATACAATATATGCATACATTAAGAATATGAAAAATTTATTGCATCAGGACTCATTAACCTATAAAATGATAATTTACAAATAAAGAAAAACAAAAAGCTAAAAAAAAAAAAAAAGAAAATTTAGAAAGATTTTCGAACAGACCTTTGGCGTAAGACAACGAAATTTGTACGGAAATCACGAGAAAAAAAAAGAATCTACTTTTATTTTTTTAATAATCAATTTTTCGAGTCGAAATAAGAGTGCCCAAAAAAAGTATTTTAGAATGATCTTAACGAAAGATCGCTTTTGTTAGTCAGTCTTGCGTGCAATTGAATTTGTTCTATATTTGTGAAGAAAGTGAAACAGATACAAGAATTAATTAAAAAATTATTATACAAGCTATTTGAAATAGGTATACCACATAAAAGAAATATTACGCAAATATTTCATTAAAGATGTCTCAACTGACTGTTAAAAATGACACTGCCAAATTCCATCACTTATTTTCTATAAAATAAAGTTCTATATTTTACTTACTACTTTATATTAAGTATCCGAAAGAAATTGCCGGCTGAATTTAATTTTAACTTTTTAACATAAGCTAGTGTGTGAATGCGTAAATATAACGGATCTTCAATTATGTTCCAATAAATATTAATTTATGGTATGACAATGACAATTATAAATTCTGCATTTTGCTTGCTAATTGATTCAGAATGAAATAATCGATCTTAATTCTATTTCAAAATAGATTTTGCCTAAAATTATGCAATTTTTTATTTCATCTTTATATGTAAATACGGCAATTATTAAAGTGACATTACTAATGCTCTAAAATATGGTACATAAATAGTTTTCATTTTACACCATGCGCGTGGTAATAAATCATTCTAGTGTGATACTGATTATTACTGTTCTACGATGTCAAATGTGTCTGCAATTTATGCGCAAATCAAATTACATTTTCTATTTTGTATATTTTGCGTTTTTTGTTTTTCATTTTTAAATTCTATTTTTTTTTACTTTAAACTTCTATCTTTTACATTTATTGTTTATTTTTACAAATGTTTGACAGAAATTGCAATGGTTTAATTACATTTGGAATGACATTTTTCTATTATTAAAAATTGTATTAAAATTTATTTTATTTTCTCAGTTTTTTGTTGAATATTTAACAGGTGTGTGTGTATAATTTTGTTTTATATTTGGTTTGTAATTTATTTTATTTTATTATAATGAAAGCAAGAAGGAAAAAAACTAAAAATAAAAATAAATTATCGTCTTGTATTATTTATTATCAGTTTGTTCAAAAATAAAATTTTTTATTATTTAATATTTAAGTGTCTTGATATTTCCTGACTATTCTATATCGTATTCATTGTATGATGATTAAAATTTATTTAAATATAATTAAATATTTTTTTTAAATAAAAATTTGATTTTTTCCAATTTGATAGGGAGAGCACGCATATTATTTTTTGATATTATTAAACGAGATTTGTTACTTTGGTAAGTATCAACTGAAATTAGTATAAAGTGAATGTACGAGTATGAATGGTCCTGATTAGATATTTAAAATTTTAGATACTAATTTATCCACAAATAATTTTTTACGATCTAATTAAGATCGTAAAAATTACGATCGTAATTTTTAGATCGTAAAAATTATTTGGTCAAAATTAATGCCTAACAACAATGC